ACAGGTGGACGCAGAGAATGATGCTGGTATTTATCTTTCCACTGCTTTATGGTGATGGGAAGAATGGGAGAAAGCAGATGGACAGCCAGGGCTTCAGGAACAGACATGTGGGGCCACCCAGCCTTCAGCTCTGGCCCCTTCAGCTTTCTCTCCCAGCCTCCAAGCCTTGGCTTGTCCTAACTACTTGGGGATCCACAGTATTGACAGTGCACAGTGGCTTTCTCCAGAATTGCTGGTTCTGGCTCCAGAATTGCTTTAAAACAAATTAATCTGTTCTCAGGTGCTCATCTGACAGTTAAAAAGTTAGGCAAAAAATGTGAAACGATATCATTTCAGACAATAAAACAAAATTCTTAGTTTGCTGCTGGATATCTTGAAGGCCAAACTGCCACAAATGAGGTTTTTTGTTTAGTTTTAAAGAGAAAAAAAAAAAACCAAAATTTCAAAACAAGATAATAGGAGGGTAACAATAGCTAATGCATTGTGTATTGTTTTCTGTAAATTAGTTACTCAGAGTACAAGGTATAGGCATTTCATTGTCCAAACAATATTTTCACAAACCTTTCTTTTCAATGAACTAAGAGAAATTAGTAGTATAATTATTTTAACTATTTCATATAAATGAGGTTTTAGAGGCCATGCATGGATTGGGCACATCTCTACTCCCAGCACTTGGGAGGCTGAGGCAGGAAGATTTCTGTGAATTTGAGGCCAGTCTAGGCTACAAAATAAGTTCAAGGCCAACGTGGACTACACAGTGAGACCCTGTCTCAAAAAATCTAAAAATTAAAAATTAGAAAATGTGGTTTTATTTTTTTATGCATTTAATACAGCGTCTACAGGGTCTCACTAAGTAGGTCAAATTCGTAGCGATCTGCCTAATTTTGGCTTCCCAAGTGCTGGGATTATAGGCCTGCACCACCATGCCGAGTCTCAATTGTTGTCTCAGTATGCCTCAGGGTGGGGCAGGCCTGGAAAGCTGGGATAGAACGCTGGCCGCTGTACTCTGGCTAAGCAAGTGCTTTAGTCTGTTGAGCTATCTGGCCAGCCCTGAAAATGTGGTTTTAGAGATGCATCCCTTGTTGTACTTTTTACCAGGAGTCAGAGGCTCTGCCCATCAGAATTCTCCTTACTAGGACCAAATACATATTTTACTTATTCAGGGTACCCAGAGCTGTATCTTAATATATTAGTTGAACAATCTTTTCAAGGAGTCTCAAACACAAAGAATGCCCTGCTGAATCTGTGTACAGGTATGAAACAAGTGGAAATTAGAGCTCCATGAAATAGAGAGAAAATGATGCCAAATGAGGTACCACCTTATTGAGAGACTAGTCCTATTTACCTTTAAAATCCTGAAGTTGGAAGCTAAAATTAGATGCTGTTTAGTATGTGTTTAAAGACAGTTTGTCTATTTCAAATTTGTCTATTTCTTTAAAGGGTCTCATCATTTCAGCACTGGTCATTAAGTTGGTGGAGGGTGGGCAGCAAGGGAGTGAGTTCAGTCCTATAAAATGAAATTAGGCAGGACCTTTGCTTAAAAAGAAAACTAGACAAGACATCTTTGGCAACAATAACAAAGAATAGTACATTAGGCTCTCTGAAGAGCTGTGCTGGCCGCTTCGCACTGGTCAAAGGTCGAAAGGCCCAGGCTGGTGAGGAGAGTGCACCACCTGGAGAGGAGAGCCCAGGTCTCATGGATGGGGCTGCGGAAGGAGCATCTGACCCCACTGGCAGCACTGTCATAGGACTGTTAGGAAGACGATGTACAACAGTGATTTTCATTTGATAAAAAACGAAAACACGACAGTAGAAAATAGATAAATTTTTTTTAAAAATTAATCTATTAGTTTTAAGAGTTTTCAAGATTTCTCTTGCCATCACTGTTGTGTTGAATTTTCTTTCTTTCTTCTTTCTTTTGGTTAAATAGACTTTATTTTCCTAGAGTTTTTGGTAGAGGAAGCTGGGCATGGCGGCACACCATGTAATACCATCACTCAGGAGGCAGAGGCAGGAGGATTGCTCAGAATTTGAGGCCAGCTTGAACTACACAGTGAGACCCTGTCTGAAAACAAACAAAAAACAAAGGATGCAGATGATAAACTTCTAAAATGATGTAGAAACTAGGGTGAGGTGGTGCATGCTTGTATCATCTTTCAAGAGGATGCAGAGATTGCCCTCCTGGACTGGGTCCATGTGGCCTCCTTTGAAGTCAGTACCTGCTCTGCATTCAGTAGTGGAGGTCACATCAATACCGCTTGCCACCTGGGTTCCTCCGTGTACACGGGTTCCCTCCTGGCACGCATAGCTTACAAGTGTGGATGAAAGTATAATGATGCATATTCACCACGACAGCATCACCCAGAGTCCTGTCCCTGTCCCGAATGCCTGTCTACCCAACAACAGAACTCTCATTTATGGAGGGCGGATCCACTGCTGCTTTGGGCTTCAGCCACTCACAGATGCCAGGCAACAGCAGAAGAAACACTACATGTAAACTGGGTCTCAGAGGCCTCTTCCCCGAGAATCCTACCGGTGGAAGTAGTTTCCGTAAGAATTCTCTGCATTTGAAATTTTTGTTTTTATTTTTGTTTTTTGAGACAGGCACAGTTCAGGCTGGCCTTGAACTCACTGTATAACTGACACTGGCTTTAAGCTAACAGCATCCTCCTGCCTCGGCCTCTTGAAGGCTAACAGCATCCTCCTGCCTCGGCCTCTTGAAGGCTGGGATTACAAGCATGCACCACCTCACCTTAGTTTGTACATCATTTTAGAAGTTTATCATCTTATCTCGGAACTTCCTCACCCAATAGTAATTCCTTGTACCTGGGAGTAACACCGTATGACTTCTGGTTGTTTTGGGTTTTTAAAAAAATGGTAAGTTTTTCATTTTCATCATTGTCCCACTATTTCCAATAAGCATCAGATTCTGTTTTAAAAGTCTTTCTTTCTCTCTCAACTGCCAGAAAGACTCCCTGGGTCACCCAGTATCTGCAATCTGGGCACTACCTATGCACCTCGCCTTGTTTCTACTTGGGTCCTTTATCCACATGAGCTACAAGCCTATTTTTTCTAAGTCATAGTTTTTATTTTAGTGCAGGGTCTCACTGTGTTGCTTGGACTCCTAGTGATCCTGTTTTCAGCCTCCCTAGTACTAGGATTACAGGTGTGCACCACCACACCCGGAGTCCATCGCCAGCTCAGTGTACCCTTGGGTCAGGGCCGGCGTGGCATGTGGTGCCAGGGATCGAACCCGGACCCCTGCACTTACCTAAGCAAGCGCTTAGTCTGCTGAGCTATATTGCTGGCCCTCCAAGTCATACATTTTAGAAAGTCAACTCTCTACTCCAGACTCTCTAGTGGGCTTGTGTTTTGTAAACTTTGGCAGTGTTATTCAACTGTTCCATGCGTGTTTGTCTTCCGCTTCCATTTTGTGATCTCCTAGAACTGAACCATCCTTGTTTCATAATAACAGGAAATGTCAGGAAAGAAAGCCCTGTGTGTTAGCCTCCAGACACCTAAATTTGAAATAATTTGATACTGTGTGATACTCATTACCTCAGAAATTCATATTTAAGATCAGCAAAGAAGCTAACCTTGCTTATCTATTTCTACCATTGCTATTATGTACACTTCATTTTGATGTCAAATATTTCAGTAAACTGTAAGGAAGGCAATTTAAGGAAGTGTACACTTATTCTTTTAATAAGTTTGCAGAGCTAGGGATTGAACCCCGAGTCTATCACTGTGCTACTCCTCAAGCTGTAAACTTAATAAAATTCATTTTTCTTTCCAAACATCTGGTAGCTTGGCAGTTTAGAACATAATTCACAAAATAAGTGTCAAGATTTCATTTTAAGTAAACATTCATGTTCTCAAACGCTTAATATTTTTATTAAGCTTCTTCCAAACTGGCTGTGAATAACCTGTCAGTAATAAAATATGTCACCAGAGTTACAGAAAAGCATTGGCGGGGGACCCTCAGAATCTCTTATATGCTGGATTCTGGAGCCGGTATCGACAAGCCTCAACACATTGAATGGTGTTCATTTGGGGAATAACTCCAAGAAAAACCGTTTCATGATTCCTGTAGAAGGTATTGCTTTTAATGCATGAAGCAATAATATGCTTGAAAATCTGACACCTGAAGTTTGGTTTTAAGAATAAAAAAATCATTAATACCCTAGAACCTCACTGGGAATTTACTAACCATGAAGCTTCTCCTCACATGAAGAAATAATAAAATTATAGGAGCTCTGCTCTATAGCCCCCAAAGAGCAGCTCTCCCTTCCGTGTGGGAGTGCTACCTTCCTTCAGCCTATTAGTGGGGACACATTACAAAGCCACCTACAGCTATTTTAGGATTTAGGCTGAGTCCACGTAGTTTTCCATCGCCCAGAGAGCTCATCTGAAGTTGAGAGGTCCAGGACCTGAAAAACTCTCTCGGAAACTGAAAGAAACCGCGCAGTAGAGAAGGAAGTAAATCCTGTTCACAGGTAGAGGCTGAGTCCTGGGACAGTTTTCTGCAGGCCTGGGGTCACAGCTAGTTCCCTACACAGCCGATGGGCAACAGGGAAAGAAAGCACCTCCGCGCTCCCCAACACCGCTGTCCCCTTGCGGGGCAGCAGTTACCCGGGCTCCGTTTACAGGGCACGCTCAGTTGTGACCAGGGACCCAGTTTCGTGTGCCAGGGACGTGGGGGATGTGACCTCTGCCCGGATTAAGCAGTGTAGGGCCCAGGAGGAGGTGCGTCCTACTCGGGTGCTCCGTCAGTCACCCAAGGTCTAGGCGTCGGAGACCCCGCCTTCCCCGGGGCCGTCGGCGCAGCCCAGGCACGCGGCCCGGCTGCCGGGAGCCCTGCCCAGCCCAGCCCGCGCGGGCCCAGACGGGCGAA